CGGGATTTGTTTGGTAGGTGATTTGGTTTATAGATCGGTGTTTAACCATATACTCAAACAAAGCTCAGAAATAGGAAATAAGAACTCTTTATATTTTTATTTAATTAAATTTTTATTTTTATTTTTCTTAAAATAGAAAGAAAAATAATTGCCTGTCCCCGGCAACGGCGCCAAATTTGACGTGCACTTTGTCGTGGTGTGCACTCAAAATAATATTCAATACAACAATTATACGTAGTATAATGAAGTAAGGTTCGTATCCACAGGGAAAGGAATACTTTTCTTTTTATATAACTAGTAACAAAATGGGGGGTTTTAGTTTGATTTGGTTTAATAATTTAAACACGAAGATGAACGAGTTATGTGGTTTAATTAATGAGAAGAAGACTTGGCTTTGCTTTTATCCACTTAATGAAATGTTCGTCGATCCCGGTTATATCTTTAACTATCTTCCTCTCGAATACTCAATCGAGGAGTATATCCAATTCATCGAGGGTAGTTATTAATAACGAGACGCGTTCATTAATAAAACTTACTACCGAGTTAATATAGAACACGTGCCGTATATTCACTCGATAATAGCAATAAAATCAAGATGAAAACGATTGAGATTGATAACCTCAACACAAGCGGTTTATTGGTTTAATCAATATAATTAATTCCCCTTGGTTTATTAACCATGAAACGCATGCATTAATAACCCAAGTTTACTACCGCGAAAGGACCGAATTAATAACAAGCGTATTAATCGACCGATTCTAGTAATAATTAAAATATGAAACAAAACTAGTTGATCCTTTAAGTAATGTTCAAAATATTAATATGAAATATGAATAGGAATTAATTAATACTCAAGGAAGAATATTAAAGAAGATGAATCCTACTATAGTTAATATCAAGATGTTAACTAATTGTCATCTTAGTAACACTCCCCGATATTAACGTAGAGGAAGAAATAACTATTACTATAACTAATGTCAAGATGTTAACTAATTGTCATCTTAGTAACACTCCCCAACATTGATATAGAAATAGTATTTTAAAGAAAGAATTAATATTCAAGGAAGAAGATTAAAGATAATAACTCACAACTTACAAATTCATTAAGCTTCAAAGTAGCAAAACCAAGATGGAAGAGTTTAGCTCCTCATTTGGAGACTAAACATGATGAAAAATATAAAGAAAGAACTTGTCTAAACTGAGCTAAGAAGTATATGTGAATTCGTGATCTTCTTGTGGGGGAAATGGGGTGTATTTATAGGCTTTTTAGGCTTGCAGGGTCGTGTACCCGATCGGGTTTTCATCCCACTCGATCGGGTACCATATGTGGCTTCGGCGAAGCTGAAAAATGGGGACATACCCGATCGGGTCTGTCGGTCACCCGATCGGGTATGGTCACCCGAACGTGTTAAAATCTTCCCGCATGATGCCTTGTTCCCGGATTTGATTTGATTCGAAATTTCAGAAGGGTACCCGACCGGGTATAGGTCATACCCGATCGGGTACAGACCAAAAACGAGATCTTCAATCTTTTTCTTGCATTCTTGCACCTTCCTTCCACTGGTGATGTTCTCCAAAGTGTATTTGGACCTGTTTGAGCTCAGAATAAACCTAATCTAAACATATTACAAATATTTTACAAACTAAACTATTTACACCAAAAGTGTGTAATTTCCAAAGTAACAATCACTCGAAACTAATTAAAAGTACAACTTTAAATATGGAAATTACACGAATGTCAGAATGGTAAGAAGCTTGCTATAACACACACTGGTCTCACCATTATACCCACATCACATCGTCCTTTATCCATCTCTAATGTGCTTTGCGTACCTACCTTACATAAAAACCTAATCTCCGTTGCTAAATTATGTCGTACTAACAATGTGTCCGTTGAATTTTTTGACTCCCATTTTCTTGTTAAGGATCGGATCACGGGGGCGTCTCTGCTGCGCGGGGAGAACCATAATGACCTATATTCTGTGCCAGTTGTTCGTCCACAAGTTAATGTCTCTTGTGTTACTCAATTATCCACATGGCATCATACCCTCGGCCATCCTTCTGCTCGTATTTTTCAGTATTTACTTAAGCATAATAAAGATATTCCATGCACTGGAATTTCATCTCATTGTAATTCTTGTTCCATTAATAAAAGTACCAAACTTCCGTTCTTCACTAATACCATGCATACAACTAAACCATTACAACTTGTCTATTCGGATGTCTGGAGTACCTCCTATCCCAGTTTGGAAGGTACCCGCTACTATGTTATATTTGTTGATCACTTTTCTAGGTACATATGGCTGTTTCCATTAAAACAAAAATCAGATGTATCCACTATTTTTCCTCAGTTCCACAAATTGGTGGAAAAATATTTTTCTCTACCACTTGTATCCTTATTTTCTGATAATGGAGGTGAATATCTAAAATTAAAATCATATCTCACCGAAAATGGCATTTCCCACTTCACCTCACCCCCTCATACCCCTGAACATAATGGGTTGGCCGAACGACGACATCGTCATATAGTTGAAACTGGCTTATCCCTCCTACACTTCTCTCATGTCCCACGCACCTATTGGCCCTATGCTTTTCAAACGGCAGTCTATCTTATTAACCGGTTACCTACCCCTATTCTTAATTACAAGTCTCCATATTATGTTCTCCATAATCATCACCCCAATTACTATAAACTTCGCCCTTTTGGTTGTCTTTGTTACCCGTGGCTTCGCCCGTATACCTCTACTAAACTTGATCCTCGGTCTCAATCGTGTGTTTTCTTGGGCTATTCCTTGAGTCAGTCCGCTTACTACTGTTTAGAACCCACATCAGGTCGCATCTTTACCTCTCGCCATGTTAAATTTATTGACACCGTTTTTCCATTCCAGGACTCTGGCACTATATTTGGGTCTACTGCTCCTGCGCCACATGGTACAGCTGGCGCACATGTGCACGACCAGCATACACCATCGCCTTCCCGCGTATTCCGATCCCTTGGCCCCTTTTATTCTCCCCTCACTGATGCCCCTCCAACCGAGTCTGTCCCACCTGCCATCCCTGATCATGTTCTCCCCCCATCACCTACTGACAATAGCCCATCCACCACTGAACCTACGCCCATACCTCACACCCCACCATCTACAAGTTCAACTCCACATACCACCCAACCAGCCCCACATACCAACCTGCACTCTCCCTCTCGCCCTGTACGCCACCGTAAACCCAATACCCGGTATCTAGGAGACCCTTATTTAAACCACACTGAAACACACCCAATCACCTCCATACTTGAACCCACCAGTGTGAAGCAAGCTCTTACTGAACCCAACTGGAAGAAGGCTATGGATGAAGAATTTGCTGCACTCTGCCGGAATAACACCTGGGAACTTGTTCCTCGCTCTTCTCAGCAGCCCATCTCCTGCAAGTGGATATTCCGCGTTAAGAGGCACCCTGATGGCTCTATAGCCCGGTACAAAGCACGGCTGGTCGCTCGTGGCTTCATGCAGGAACCTGGACGTGATTATTTTGACACCTTCAGTCCGGTTACCAAGCCGGCAACGGTTCGCATTATATTGTCTATTGCTCTTGCTCGGGGCTGGTCTCTTCGCCAAATGGATGTCAACAATGCATTTTTACATGGCACTCTCACTGAAGAGGTCTATATGACTCAACCCCCGGGATTTGCTGATAGCCAACACCCCACTTCTGTGTGTCGATTACGGAAGGCTATTTATGGCTTAAAACAGGCTCCTCGAGCCTGGTATTTGGAGCTGTCTCGGTTCCTCATCTCGGCTGGTTTTAGACGGTCCAAGGCAGATGCGTCATTATTTATTTACTCTCATCATGGTACTCATATATATTTTCTTGTGTATGTCGATGATATTGTCTTAACAGGAAACAATGATGCTGCTCTAGAAGCCTTTATCTCTCAGCTCACCAAACGGTTTTCTGTGAAAGACTTAGGCTCTCTACATCATTTTCGTGGCATTGAAGTAATTCCCTATTCTGATGGATTATTTCTTACACAAAGACAGTACATCCTCCATATTTTGGACACCTGCAACATGTCTAGGGCTAAGGCGACAACGACGCCAATGAGTACTACCACTGCTGCACTCTCGGATGTGACTGAGACCTCAGCGGATGTCACCCAGTACCGCCAAGCACTTGGGTTACTCCAATATTTGGCGTTTACAAGGCCCGACATCTCATTTGCTGTTAATAAATTATCTCAATACATGCAGTGTCCCACTCAGAACCACTGGCAAGCTGTGAAGCGCATCCTTCGTTATCTCAAGGGAACTCTAAACCATGGGCTAGTTCTACGCCGGTCTACTGGCCTGCATCTCTCGGTCTTCACCGACTCTGATTGGGGAGGGGTTCACGACCGTGGGAGATCCACCACCGCCTATGCCTTGTATCTTGGATCCAATATTATTTCTTGGAAATCAGCAAAACAGAAGTGTGTATCTCGGTCTTCCACCGAGGCCGAATATAGAGTCGTGGCAAATGCAAGTGCTGAAATGATGTGGGTCCGTCACCTTCTCCAGGACCTTGGCATATCCTGTTCTACCACACCGACACTGTATTGTGATAACCTTGGAGCTACGTATGTGTGTGCCAACCCTGTATTTCACTCTCGCATGAAACATCTGGCGTTGGACTATTTTTTTGTTCGTGATTTAGTTGAAAAGGGTCTACTCAAGGTTCTTCACATCTCCACTAAACTGCAGATAGCTGATGTTCTTACCAAGCCACTTGGCCGATCCCAGTTTGAAGCATTTAGAACCAAGATGGGTGTTTCCGATGGAACCTCCATCTTGCGGGGGCGTATTAAACCATAATTAGTATACACATTTTACTTGGTCTATTTATGTAAATATTCTTGTAATTAATATCATATATGCACCTACCATTCGTATAGCATAATTATAGCCTCATTATTTGGATCTCACATTATTGTATAGGAGAGGAGATCTTGTCTCTTTGTAATATATATACTGGTTCGGCCCTTTGATCATATATATAAAAATTGATCCATTATTCTTCATTTTCTACGCCCATATCATATGTTTGATTCTAAAAAACAATTTTAACAGAAATTCTCAAAAAAAAAAAAATCAAAACATATTCGTCCAGGAAGGAATGTCCAGAGGCCTGGTGAATTATTGAATTCTTTAATTTGTGAAGTCCTCATCTCAAAACCTCAAGGCCAATTTACTCCAATAATTTATATATCTTTCATAGTTTCATTAAATCAGCTGCTCAGCCACATAAAATAAATGGCATATGTTGGTGGAAGTTTTGGCTGGGATGCCCAAAAAGTATGTTTGCCCGACAGGTACAAAATATGACATGTTCCCTTTCAATTCTGAATTCTCTTTCGTTCATACCACGTATTAGACTTACCTTTTCATATTTACCTTTTCATATTATGGGTCATGTTTAATCATGCTAAGTATTAAAAGGGCGAATCATTTTTAAACAAAATTTGAATGGAATATTCATACTCAGGTTGGGTTATTGATCTCATATATATACTAGATACTAGATATGTAATATAATATAAACTTAGGTAGTTAAGGAATGTATCAACTTAGGTAGATACTGATTTTCTAGGTGTGATAAAATTTTTACTCGCAACAAGTTACCAAAACCACAATATACTACTCTATCCGTTCTTTTTTATTAGTCCTTCTTTCCTTTTTGGAACGTTTTTTTTATTTGTCTCATTTCCCTTTAAGGAAAGTTTTTGAGAAAATACCCCCATTTTTATTACTTTTACCCCACTTATTTTTTACAAACTATTTTCTCTTTCCTACTTTACCATCACTTTACTAGGCATGGCAATGGGTCGGGGCGGGGCGGGTATTGCAAGACCCGGACCCGCCCCGTGACTTGGCGGGGCGGGTCCGCCCCGCCCCGTGACCTCCACGGGTCCAAACTTGTTGACCCATGACCCGCCCCATGCGGGGCGGGGCGGGGCGGGTCCGGCCCGCCGCTACCTAATTAGCTAGTTTTTGTTTTTATTTGTAGGAAGTTGTTACCAATTGAATCTACATAATATTTATCTCTAAATAATAATTAAAATTCAACATATTAAATCAAATTCATGATACGCTAAAAATTTCAAAAATTAAGAAAAAATTACTCAAACTTGAATAGTTAATCTAATTAGTTATATTAATAATTGAATAAATGTATTAAAATTCTATATATATATAAAGAAGACATTGATAATCCGTTGTGCATCTCATTCTAATATATATTCATATATTATAAGATCAAAGAATTTATGATTTATTGTATACACACATATGTATGTTTAAGTATATTTGTAGTATAAGTTAAGAAAAAGTATGTATATTTATATATTGAGCGGGTCGGGTCGGGGCGGGTCGGGGCGGAACGGGTCAATTCTAATACCCGGACCCGCCCCATTGTATAGGCGGGGCGGGGCGGACCCGCCCCATTTGCAAGACGGGGCGGGGCGGACCCGCCCCAAATGTCTCGGGCCAGGGCGGGTCATTGCGGGTCGGGTTTTTTTGACATCCCTACACTTTACTCTTCTTAATACACTCTCTTTCCTACTTTATCATCATTTTACTCTTTTTAATATATCATCTTTCCTACTTTATCATTTACCCTACACACTCTATGCTTGCCCTACTACTTTATTATTAAATCTCGTGACAAACCCTAAGGGGACTAATATTAAAGAAGGGAGGTAGTATATATTGAAGGTATTTCAATGTTCTACATTCTCAAAATTCGAATGGAGGTCCTCTGCCGTGGGGCAAAGTACCTTGCCGCAGGGGCTGTCGGATGGGGAAAGTCGGACGAGAAAAGTCACGCCTCGAGATGCGGACCTCAAAATCTCCGGTCGTTGAAGTATTGATCGGTCGACTCTCAAAGGCCGTGCAGGGTGTCTTGCTTGGAAGCAAGGCAGACACTCCGAATCCCAAAATTTCAGGGGTGACTGACCACCCTGACCCCCTGGCTCCGCCCGTGCGAACAATGCTACTCTCTTCCCTTATTAGATTAGAGTGAGTATGTTTTCTCTGCAAATAAGATTTATTTATTCCTCAAGAATAAAATAATGTCACTCCTATTTGAATAAGTATGTTATTTTTACTCTTTCTTTTTCCTGTATTCCTGCTCCAAAAGTTAGAACAGCTAGCTATACTTTTTGGTCATTGACCATTTTTCTTGTTTGATAGAATCTTTTATTGAGCACAATTTACCTCAATAAAAGAGGTATTAAGTCATGACATTCTATCTTTCCTTTCTCATACAGGAAAGCAATCTTCTCTGAAAAGTTATCTGATGTTTATACTTGACTAATAGGTGGTATAAGATGGTTAACCAGATAATTTTTAAATTCTTGTAGTTCTATTTGAAGTGTACAAAGATATAATTTCTTACTTGAACTATTATGCCATGTTATGACTATCATTACAACGACTAAAAGACTAACTTCATAAAAAAGTAATAAAATATTAATTTATGTGTGAGTTTATATATTTATCGCACGAGTTATAAAAGTTACACAAGCTGATCGGTGAATATCATGAGTTGTTAATTCTCAATTAAAGTACAGAGACCACTTGCTTCAAAATGTAATAATAATGACATAAATGAATACCAAGTCTTAATATCATTGGTAAAATTTACCTCTTCTTCATCCTAGTGCTAGCTAGGATGAAAACCTTATTAGTAGCAGCATAATAGTAGCACTAGAGCACATCAGAGGATGGACATAGGTGATTAAAACTAAAGAAAAAGCTCATTTCAAGATGAAGCACAAAAGTGGTCTTCACCCTCATCAAGATCCTTAGGGTAACTATAAGGGGGGTTAAGCTGCAACTCAGCTACCATGTCCCGAAGCTCAGAAGTTTCTTGTTTGAGCTGAGCATTCTCCTGAAGTGATTGGTCATGGCGGTCCGAGAGCTGGTTGAGTTTCTCGAGGAGCTGGTGGTTCTCATTCCGTAGCCATACCACCTGAGACCATAGCTCATCCAGATGCTTTTGCTTTCTCATGCGGGACCGCCTAGCGGACTCCCGGTTCGATATCATTCTCCGCTGTTTCCGCTCGATGATCAAGCTCAGCTGCTGCTCCTCGGCTTCATCCGACGTCGAGTTGCTGCTGAAACAGCATGTGGCCTGTGAGTTATTGAATTCTTGAAGGTGGGGATTTGCCATCTGGAAATAATATGAAGCTGGGTTGTTACATAGCCCTCCACTACTTAGTTGATGGTATTCTGGGATGCTTTGATTCAACCCAACATGAGTTGATTCATATATGTTTTGGTTTGTGTAAGGAAAGATGTAATTCAGATTTGTGATATCAACTGGCTGCATTGCTAATTGTTATTAGTAGTGGTGTCTGGGTGGGTATGTGTATATTTGACAGAGTTATGACTTAATAATTAGTAAAGGGCCTAGCTGGTGGAAGAAGTTTTTTGTCTGAGAAAGAATGGGAACTTGGAGGAAAAGAGTTCTCCTTTTATAGGATATGCAAAAGGATAGTGGGTCCCACCCATTCATTAGCTTGATGAAATTTCAGGTATAGTGCAGGTACCTTAATTTTCTCAAAGATGAGACCAGCAGATTATGACACTATGTTGTTACATTTCTTGCTGCAAATTGTATAACTCCCTCTCTTGATAAAATTCCTTTTTTTGGCATTTACATATTCCAACAAATTCAGTATTTTTCCTTGACAACCTGATATGTGTTGTTGATGAAGAAAATATTATTGTAAAGGATACTATTTAAACGCTTTAAAGTTCTACAATTTCTTACTCATTAGAGAATAGTAGAATACAAAATGATTTTATTTAGGCTTTTTCCAAAAACAAATTAAACACATCGCTTCATGATTTGGGTGTTTAGAGGATGAGATGTAAGTAGACTTTATCTTCAAGGCAAATGGGGAGAGAGGGTGTTTGCGATTAAACACTTGACAAATAGGGAAAGGAAATGTGGATAACACTCAAGAAATGCATAGAAGAATTCTTAACATCTCATTACACCTGTTCCAACTTCTTTGGATTAAACGCATGTCATAGGTGCATAGGTAAGGAGCTAGCTCGGGCTTAGCCCCTCCGTCCTACTAACATTGAGAAACGAGGATATGATACAGTTATTAAGAAAAGTTAGTTTATGGTTTGATATCGAATTGATTAAGCAAGAATAACGTAAGAATGATTTAGAACCATACAAATTTTATCAAATCTCATATGAGACATTCTTAGTAGAACGGGTCGAAAAAGAAAGATAAAACAATCTTAAAGGGATGGATGGAGTATAATTCTTTTAATGAGTAAATATTTATGTGGATGTATTGTTTGTTTAAGCCACTTTTGATTTTGATGATGATTGTTAAATTAGTCTGGGCCCGGACACATTAACTTTAAAATAACTTTAAATTATGGTATTAAAAATACTCTGCATTATACAGAAATTTGTTTGATAAAATCCTTTATACATGTCCAATCCAATATAGCCTCCTGCATATGCACATTTATAAACACAAGCAACTATACAAGTACAGAAGTACTAAGGAGTCTCATTTCTTAGGTTGGCAATTTAAATTGGTAGAAGTATGCTTGGAGGCCAAGGGCCTTTACAGGCCCTTCCACTCAGCACAAAGACTCTATTTTACTGAGTTTTTCAAATACTTTACAATGATGATCTTAAAATATTGAAAAGTTATTTTTAGATATTCACTATTACATTTATTGTTGTTGTTCCAAAAGGTGGAATCTCCCACCCCAGAAGCCCCCACATCCCTAACCCAATAGAATGATGGAGGAGTAAGTCACGGTGACTCAATCACAAGCCCATTGATGGTAGGCCTTATAATCGTGCGCACCAGAGCTTCAGCCCCACACGCAGGAGCTGTAACCCCCATATGACCGCTGCGAGTATCGATCCTTGATCATTGTTTTAAATTTCCCACCACTGGACCAACTGAGCTACCCGTGTGAGTCTATTACATTTATTCAATTGTTTACTTTCCTGGTTGAATGTGGATGCAATGATTGTCTTATTGTTGTTATTGTTATTATAGAAGTATTATTTTGGTAATTTATTTTGTTATAGATGACAAACATAAGTTGTAAATAAATGGTATCTCAACCGCGTGCCACTTTATTGTGAATCTGCAAATGGAAGAAGAATTTAAGTATGCTCTATAGACTATAGACCAATATTTTATAATACGTAGTATGATTTACTCCGTATCTCTAGCTAGGAGAATTAGTTTTTCCTGTACCATTTTTGTACATATTTTGCATTGTCGTTATATGTTAAAGCTAAAGTGCAGTCCAATATACTGTTCCGTAATATTGTAAACAAGTTGCAGTTACATCTAACTGTGATTAACTTTCTGATATAAAGGGAGCCCCTTCCCTGCTTTTCATTGTCAGAAATGGAGCCATGATTAGCTACCCACACGTATGTTGCAGTGTAAAGTTTCTTTCTTTTGTCATTAGTGAGTAATTGCATTACCACCTCCATCCGTTAAGTTTGGGACAAAAGTGAGTCATGCGGTTATTAAGAGGTTATTAAGAGTTATATAACTATGTGATTATTATTGAATTACTAAAGTGTATATAATACTATCGTATAAGAATATGATAAAATGGGATAAATGTAGGGATAAAGGGAATATATCTCACAGAAAAGATGACACCCTATCTTGAACAGGACCAGCATAATAGTTATCTAGGAGGAGCCAAATTGAATTTAATCAGAGATTTATAGTTCATGAGTGGGGATCTGGCCCAAATCTTTGTCCGCGGTTAAACGTGTTTTACTCCGGGCTTACCTTTTGTGCCAGTCCAAGTGCAGTGGGATTAAGGCATCGTCATACTTTGAAATAATTTTCTCACTCAAGCATTATTGTAGAATTACTGTTATCTTTTCAAGTCAATGTCAGAAGTTCGAATTTTATCTCATCAAAGTGTGTAATATTGTTGGGTAGACCTTCTTGAGGATGTGAGGCATTATATGTACTTGAACCACCTACACGGCTAAAAATAGATAAGATTATCTTATTCAAATATTATTGTGTGTGTGACAGAATGAGATTAAATAGTCTTATGCCCGGGCTAATGTGACATAATATGTAGGATACAAATAGTTTGTATCCTATGTTTTACTTAATAATGCTACATTATTAGATGAGAGCCTTTGTGGCACTGAAGTAATATTGTTGTTGTGTCATGCTACATTACTATTATTAGATGTTAATTAAGCCTAACCACAAATCCATAACACTTTGCACCCATATCCTTAGTGGCCGGAGGAAGTGTGTGAATGAATGAGGGGAAGAGAAAACTTCCATTCTGATGCCAACAAGAAAAGGTATTCCAAAACCATTACAGAAACCTGATCTCCCACACATTGGCAACCTTATTCCCAAAGAGAGTAATGAGGCAGGGCCATAATTTCATACAGTTGAAAAGCTCTGAAAGATGTATGGTAGGTGGGGGAGGAATAGGTGGTTGTAGATTGGATGTACTTTGAAATTCAGTCTCCCACTACCATAAAGAAAGTCATAATGCATACAGAACTACAACTCTCATGGAGGGGAAAATGTTCTCTTCCTACTTCACTCTGTGGGCCCACCAGTAGCAATATTAATCCAGATTATTGACTCTTCTTTCTTTTCTTGTCTTCAATATCTCCCCCTTTTTCCCTTGTTTCATTATTTATGTGCCCTCCCTCCTTCTCTATATGCTCTTTTCATGTGGGGCCTCTGCGAGGAGTGATTAGTATTCCTCTAGTATCTTATTACGTAGAATTTGTCATGTGTACTTTGTAGGTACTAGAGAGAATATACCATACGCTACTTTCTTAGACCACTCCACATATTTATTGTCTACGTCACTGTGTATTATATACGGGGAAGTAGATGTTGGGGGTGTAGCTCACCTAGTAGATAGGGGTGCGGTATGCTTTGGGTATGAATCCTGAATTCCTGATAAGAGAAGTTACTATATAAAAATACAACAAAAATGATCTTTGTACCCACTTTTATATCCATTTTTGTATCCACCTATGTTTGTGAAGTGTTTTTTTTTGTCTGTAAATCCTGGTTTAAGACAATATTTTGCACAGACGAAATATTGTCTGTGATGAACCGGATTCACAGACAAAAAAAACCTTCACAAACATGGTGGGTATAAGGTGGGTATAAAAGTGAGTACATGAAGCATTGTTGGAAGTACATATCTAAATACTAGGGTCAGAATATTACTCGTTATCTGCAAATTAAAGTCCAACCTACATTCTCTCAATTAACTTTCCCGTTGATGTCGAGGAGTCCTCAGAAATAGGATGCCATCCTTTATATTTTATAAACAGACTAACAGAGTAAGACAAATAATCAAATATAATATGGAGTACATTCAAAGCTGCACACGAGTATAACTTCACCTCTCTTTTCGGTCTTTGAATTACCTCTGGTAAATCTATCATTACTTGGAGAGGCTAGAGCTTTACACGGAGTATCATTTTAGTCCGTAGGCATACTTCTTAATTTATTTTTCCTTGGATAGCTACTAGATATTTAACCGATCCTCTATTAGGCTGATAAATTGTTTGTTTATTCCTTTCACTATTCATATCTCTTTGACTCTTTGATTTTGTGGAAAAAAAACTATGTGTACACATAAATTGTACACATTTTTATACGCACCCTCTAGTTGCCTATACACAAACAACTAGAAATGTGTACAAAAAATTTGTAAAACTTATGTGTATAAGAAGCACCAACCTTTTGTGGATCGCCTTCTAACATGGCGTATATATTAGTTTAGAGCGGATGATAATTCCCGTTTTCATCTTAATAATATTGGCAACCGTTTTTCGCACAAGTAGGGTTTAAATTGAGAATCTGTATCGTACAATAATCAAATTAAGTAAGATTGAAGCTACGTTACTAATAAATTGACTGAATTTACTGAAGATGACTATTTTAACTATATTTCACACAATTATTCTTTATTTTTTTTATTGAAATATACGAAGTACTATGTATGATATATACTACGTATAATTTTTCTTAATTCAACATATCAAGCCGCTTCACCTGATATAAGTAAATTTAACCAATTTAAATGTTATTACCAAACAGAGTCTAAAGTAATTTTGGGATTTAGTATTTTAGTTTAGTTCCAAATATGGAGTTTTTTTATATTTAAAAAACTAAGTTGGATATCTTAGTGGCGATTTGACTTTTTCTTTTCTCAAACCTCATAATTTGAAACAAGACACACACGACGGCATGGTGCCATGGTGATAGTATCCAAAACATATCTGTTACTATTAATTAAAAAGAAAAAAGAAATGTTATACTCATATTTAGTCATATATAGCAAAATAAAGTTTTTTTGTTAGACTCAACGGGCAACCTTCTTTTTGCGATATCAACGGTGATGCAATCTAATCAAAAACTTCTTCTAGTC